TGCTGCCAGGTCTAGAACTTGAACTGTAACCAACTATATTAGAGTTCAGCGCCTTAACCACCATGCCACCTGCTGCCCCTCTTTTCTTTTTTTTATTTAATTTTTAAGTTGCTATGGGGTATGTGTTCTCATTAGAGAGAGAGACAGAGAGTGTGAGCGAGAGCTACACCTCCCAGGAAGGATGGTTACACCACAATCCTTCTCCATTCTCTTCTGGGGACCCTGGGCATGCATGCACATGTGCCTGGTGTGCCTCTCAAGCTGCTGGGTCTGGAACACAAACTGCACTGTCAGCTCTCTAAGATGCAGCTGCCCCAACCACCCTGCCACTGGCTGGCCCTCTGGCTTCTTCTTCTATGGGCACGAATCCCAATCATGAGCGTTCATTCCACTCTTGTGACCTAATTACCTCCCAAAGGCCCCACCTTTCAGATACCATCATATTGAGACTAAGATTTCAATGTATGAATCTGGAGGGACATAAACATTCAGTCCATTGCACATATATTCCCTAGGCCTCTGACACTTTTATGGGACTCACTTAGAAGTATGGCTCCCAAAATAATTGAAAACATGTTGGATTTTCTTTCTTAGGTAGTTGTACTGTTTTAGTGTATTAATTGATTACCGCGTAATAAATACCAGAGAGCACGCTGGACTTTAACCAGAATCCCTTTCTGCCTCTCCATTTGTCTCTTGCAGTTCAATGTCAGTGTTTTGCAGATAGCAACCCGGAATGGTCATGCATCCCTTGTCGATTTTCTTCTCAGTGAGAACGTTGATCTGCACCAGAAAGTGAAAGTGAGTCTTTTCCCATAACACGGGCTTTGGTTCTGGCGCCAGGAGGCTGGCTGTGTCAGGGAGATGCCCCTTGCAGATACGTGTGGGGAATGAGATGTTTCACAAGGGAGGAATTCTTTCTGGGAAGGCTGACTAACTTTTTTTGGAAGCCAAGTCTTAATCTGGAGAAATAAAATCCAAAGGATGAATTGTAGAAAGCCACTGAAGTTCCTGAATAAAACAAAATCTTTGAGTTTTAAATATTTATATTTGCTGCAATAAAAATTTCTCATGTGTCTAGAGATGCTGTTATTCTTGTATTAATTTTATCAATCTGGAAAAATGACGAAGCTGCTGTAAACCTGAAGAGTGATAGTTTTCCCCCTTCACTGAGTGATCTTGTTTTTCTTTTGGAAGTCAATCCTTTACACTGATTTAGGTTTTCTGAGGTTTGAGTTGGCTTTGGTAGAATTAACAAAGGCCCTCTGTGCTGGAATTACATGAGAAGTGTTCTCTATTTTTCACTCTGTTTTCATTTCTCCTGTGAGAATATTATTTCCTCTGATCTTGCTGAGCCGTTACTATTTTATTATATTAACTCAAGAGAAAGGATGTGATTTGAACCATGTGTGACGGTTTTCGGTGTGATGTTAGGGGAATTGGCCCTGAACTTAACCTGGTTCAACCCAAGGACACTTCCTGTTGCTCAGGAGGAGCTGGGCCCCAGCAAGGGGGTGACTCTAGCAAGAACACTGACATTCCTCTTTGAGATGAGAAATATTTTCTTTTTGTCTCTGTCGACCCCTATTTTTGTTTATGAGAGAGAGGGGAAAGAAGAGACAGAGATAGGTATTTTTGATGTGCCGCCCTCCTCCAGCCGCAGACTCCCAATCAGTGTCCAGTGTGCTCAGGTTGGCCTGGGAATACAGCCTGGGCCCCCTAAACAGCTTCCAGCCTCCCCAGCAGCAGTGCTACTTATGCACCACCTCGGTTAGCTGGGCCTGCCTTATCTATGCCTAGTGCCGCAAGGGGGAAGGTTATTCCTGAGCAGAAGAGACCTACGCAGAAAGCCTCCCCGTTGTGCCTCACCAGCCGACCTCAGTGCCTCCTGTCTCCTTTAATCCCAGTGCCCTTGGGCAGTCTGACTTTCTCAGTCATGGTGTCCTATCTGTCCCCTCCTCTCTTCTTCTTCTGTATGCTGGTACTACTTGTGGCAACTCACTGTGTCTCTCTTCCATCCTGAGAAGGACCTGGAGTCAGGAAGGTCTGGGATCAAGTCCTGTTTCTTTCACTTCCTGCTCTGTGGCCTTGTGGAAGTTGTGCCTCATGTGTAAAGTGGAGACTGTAAGATCTAACTCTTCAGGCTGTGGTAAATGGTTGCTGAAAGCTGTTCGCCCAGTGCTTAAAACAGAGTGCGGATAGTTCCTGGCTTCTGATGGTTCAAGATAATGATTTTTCGACTGTATGATGGTGTAAGCGTAATACGCAGTCAGTAGGAATCACAATAGGAGTACCCATAGAACCACTGTGTTTTCCACTTTCAGTATATTACTCAATAAATTACATGAGATAGTCAATACTTCATTATAAACTAGGCTTGGTTACCTGAGTTGAGGAAGTGGATGCGTAGCAAGCACTGTGATAAGGCTATGCCTAGCTGATGGTTATTGTGGTGATTATTGTTATTATTTACTGCCAGAGGACATGTACACTTGCCAGAGAGAGGGAGAGGGAGAGGGAGAAAAGATCCCTCCCCTCCTTGGGGTACAGTCATGCCGCAATCCCTTCTCCTCCATTTCTCCATCCTGCTGGGAGTTAGAACACAAACACATGTGCCTGGTGTATTTTTCAAGCCAGCAGACCGGATTCGAACTGCAGTCAGCCTTGTAGGATCTTGCTCTCTTAAATCAGTAGGCCCTGGGCTGGCCCCCATTGTTATTTTTTTTAAGTTGTTTTTTTTTTTTTTTTTTTTCAGGGAAGTGACATACAAAAATGAATGTGAGGAAGTGAGGTATAGAAATCATTGGATGGGTGGCCAGCAGGTGGAGTGGTGGTTGAGGTGCTGGATTTCCACATGGCCAACTGTGGTTCAAGTCCCAGACCTGGCAGCTTGCTTTCTCATTTTCCATCTCTCTCTCTCTGGTAAAATTTTCAAAAATAATAGTAGTAATAAATAAAATTAAATAATTAAAAAAAGAGAAATCATTGGATTGGTTACAGGTGGACTGCAGGCTGCATGAACAACCTAAATGTGGGCTTTTTGTGATGAACAGAAGTGTTGCTAATGTGATTGGCTGTAACTTAGTAACCAACTCAGGAAAACAGTCGAACATGTACAATTTCAGCTTATCCATAAGAATCCTAGTGTGGGAGTACAGCAGCCATTTGGCGTTAAGATAGTTTAATTTGACACTTTCATGAGTAAGAAAGACAGAGACCGTGACAGAGACAGAGAGACAGCACTCCCAACAAAGTCCTATGCTGCGACTCAACCTCAGCCTCAGCCAGCCCTACATCCTGAGCATGTGTGTGCCCCGTGTACTCAGGGAGGTCTCTGGACACGAACATGGGATCTTCCCATGTGGATCAGCCTTGTTGAGTGCTGTGCTTTTTTCACCTCAGGCCCACCACCGGGCATCTGACGCTTAATATTAATATCAGCTCTCGGGACCAGCAGTTGGCATAACGTAATGGCTATGTCGCTGGACTCCCATGTAGTTGACTGCAGTTTCAGTCCCGGACCCAGTGGCTTAAACTCAGACCAGCTGCATGTGCATGTGTGTACAAGATCCCAAGAGGAGAATGAAGGAGAAGGGATTGTGGCATGGCCATCTACCTGGGGGGTAATTCTCACTTTCTGTCTCTCTGTCTTCTGACAAGCACACACACCCTATAGCAAAAACCTCTAAAACAAAACAAAAAAGTCAGCTATTACACTTGAGCAGCACAGCACTCCAGCCTAATCACCCAGTCTCACAAACATCTACGTTGTCCTCTCCCTCCGCTCACTCTGCTTCCAGCTCAGCCACTGTTCTGCCCACAGTCTCATGGACCTTCTGGTCTTCCTCACTCACACCCATCGCCCCACACTGGATGCCCCTGGCCCTCACCCACATTAGATGCCCCTCACCTCACTCTCTTGCCTTAATCTCTTTTGCCCCTAATTCCTTTATTGTTTCTCCCCTACCCATTTCCTCCTCTTAGCTACTTTCTCTTCTCCTGGAGACATGTTGCTCCCCTGCCTCCACAAGTCAGCACAGCTGGGTAGGAGGGAGGCAGCAGGGGAGTCCGGAGGGGTGCACTGCAGCCTGCAGGGCTGGGAGTCAGCCCGGGGTATGGGTGAGTAGAGGGACCAGGAGGCTCTAAGTGTGCGAGTGGTCAGAAAGACAGAGGCAGGCTTGCAAGGGACTGGGGGACTAAACTGTGTCTGGACTCTCTGCGGGGCTTGAGGGGGCTGGGCAGTGTCCCTGAGTAAGAATGGGGGCATTGGGAGTTGGCAGGCGGTGTGGTTAAGGGCACTAGACTCACTCCCACATGGCTGACCCTGGCGACTTGCTTTCTCACGTTCTTTCTCTCACCCTCTCTCTCTTACTCTGCCTCTCTCTGGCCAAATTAAAATAAATAAATAAATAAAGTTAAATAAAAGTAATTCTTATTAAAAAAAAAAAAAAGGAGAAGGGGGGCTCCAGGAAGTGAGGGTTCTAGGCCCAATCATTCAGGAAATGCTAAAGTGCATAGTATTCCCACTGTCCTTTAGCTCTTTTGCAGTTCAGCCTATTGAAGACTTTTTTTTTTTTGGAGAGGTTTTTGCGATAGGGCACGTGCGCTCTCCAGACAGAGAGAGACAGAGAGACAGAGAGACAGAAAGCGAGAAATCACCCCCCGGGAGGATGGCCATGCCGCAACCCCTTCTCCTCCATTCTCCTCTTGGGATTTTGGGCATGCACGTACACGCGCCTGGCGTGAGTTTTAAGCCACCGGGTCCGGGACGCGAACTGCAGTTGACTACATGGGAGTCCAGCACTAACTATGGTTGACTACATGGGAGTCCATTACACTAACTGCTGGTCTCTTGAAGACTTTCTTAACCTGCATATTTGAACTTAATGCCAGTTCTTCTGGAGAGCCTTTTCAGCCCTCCTAAGTGGTCAGCCCTTCCCCACCCCCACATGTACTCTCACAGTACTTTCTTCTTTTCTTTGGAAGCACTTATCACAATTTGTGATTACATAGGTATTTGTGTGATTTAAAAAACAAAAACAAAACTAACATTTGCTCACCTCACTAGATTACAAGAGTCCTGAGAATGGGCTTTGTTCACTGCTATGTCCCTAGCATCCTGTAAAGCTTGGCCCATACTAGGTGCTCAGTATATGAATAGTTGCAGGATGAAAGGGAAGAAATGCTTGCTGAGGAACAGGTTTGGCAAAGATTGCTGAACACTTTCTGTGGACCCGCCACTGGGTGGGCAGTTTCAGTACTTGGTTATCATCAGGAAATATCTGCAGAAGCCAGTAGCTTTTTGATTTGAATGAAGCCAGCCTTTTGGATTTGAGTTTTTTCTTTCTTCCTGCAGCCTAAGGAGTCCCCTCTTCACTTAGCGGTTATCAACAACCACATCACGGTTGTGAACAGCTTATTAGGTGCACAGCATGACACTGACATCTTAAATCAGGTAAGCCAGAACCTGAAGAGTTTATTTTCTTGCGTTTCAACACAGTGCATGTTTACAAGGAGTTTTGATTGAGTTCAAAGTGCCTAAAAACTCCTGGGAGGAATGTGCATGTTATTTTTATTTTTTCTTCTGCAACCCCCTACCCCACCCCCTATGGCCACACACATACTTTGTCTTTCTCAGACGCTCCAGTGGGGGGTTAGCCAGTGCATGATTAAATTGTTCACATTTATCAGGCCCGGCCCTTTTGATAGATAAACAGTAGCTCTGAGGTAAATTGCCAGAGGCTCTTTAAATCAAAAGCCACTCCCCCAGTGGGAATGTTGTAATTGGCAGGGAGCCCATCCCCACTAGAAGGGAGCTTTGTTTCTGTATTAGAGACAGTAAATGTGTCTTCCTTTTACCCGAAGGCAAAAGAGACCTCTTGGAATAAAAAACACCCTGAATTCAATCAACTGGAGCAGAATCAAATGCCTCATAAAAGCAATCCATCACTGGCTGGAAATGGAAATGTCAAGGTGGAATAACAAAGAGGCCAGGCAGGCACTGTGTGAAGCAGGGCCTGCTCTCTGGGGTTGAGCTGCTTTCTTCCAGGAGATGTACAAGAACAGGAAAAGGAGTCTTTCCAGGGTCCTGAGACCAGATGAGCCCTCAGTCATGCACCATCCCACCCCCTCAGTTAGCAAGGAGCCATAGTACAAGAGACATGCCTATCCTAGCCCACTGTGTGGCCCTCAGTGGCTTCATCTGTAAGACCAGAGCTCTCGCCAGGTATCTACATCTCCTTCAACCCCAGCCCGGGAGTTAATTTTTGCCCTGAGCTAAACAGAAGCTGGTCTCTGCCTCTGTTCCTGTATCCCCAGGAGATCTTCTCCCTCCTGTGTCTTCCACTATCCCAGAAGTTTTCTAGGGGAGCAAAACTCCTCTAGTTATTAAATACACCTATGTATTCAACCATGTTAATGCCCAAATCTTTCCTAATGTACAAATTCTTTTTTCCTTCCTTTCTATCTTTTATTTATGGATTTTTTTTGAGAGAGATATAGAGAAAAGGAGAACCCTTGACAGGGTCTCCTTATACCATGATCCCCTTCCCCTATTCCTCCAACTTGTTGGGATCTTGAGCATGCTTGTGCCAGCTCCTGGGTTTGAACTGGTGGCTTCCAGTACTGCAGGTTAGTAAGCTATCCACTATGCCACCAGGTTGGACTTCTACTGGGCAATTCTTTGCTAAATACACAGAGGGTTGGCCTCATTTGTAGTAGTTAAGTGCAGCACAGAGGAAGCTAGATCCCACATGGACAAGAGGGTTTGAATTCCAACCCCATCAGCATGAAATAGAGCATTGGAGGAAAATGGATTGTGGTATGATTGGGCTCCTTTGCAGGATGCTTTCTGTCTCTCTCCTGTATTCAGGTGACCTCTGTCATAAAAACATTATATAGAAGCTCTATTTTGACACATGATTCGGTTTCACCAGCACTGACAGGATCCACTCTAGGGGAGGAATGTTTGGTTGGCTTGCTATCCAGTGATGGAACTAGACTTTCTCATTTCAGTTTCTGTTGTTGTTATTAGAAGGAATACACATATAAAATAAGAACATTCATATTCTAAATATCTAATATTTATATAAAATAAGAAAAATATATAAAAACTTGAATGTATTCATCTTCACCAAAGTAAGATAACACTTACTGATATTTTAATGCATTTCCTGCCTTCTAGAATTATAGCAGTGTCGTCAAAATGAGATTTTGTTGGTATTTGATGTATTATGCTTGTGTCTTTTTCATGCTGTATAGACCTTTGAGAGGTTTGCCTGTATAAGTGTGATGTCTTAGACAATTAGTCCCCAGAGGGGCATCCTGCCATCTATAGGCAGGTCTTTAATAATGCTTTTTTTTTTTGCTATAGAGCATGTGCACTCACCAGAAACACAGAGAAAGACAGAGAGATAGAAAGTGAGAAATCACCCCGAGGGAGGATGGCCACGCCGTAATTCCTTCTCCGCCTTTCTCCTCTCAGGATCTTGGGCACACACGCACACGTGCCTGGTGTGAGTTTAAGCCACTGTGTCTGGGACTCGAACCGCGGTCGACTACATGGGAGCTCAGCGACATAGCCATTACGCTAACTGCTGGTCCCTAATAATGCTTTTTGATAATCACACTAAAACCTCAAGCACGTTGGCCCCGTGCTGGAGTAGGAAGAGTTCTGGGCTACAAGTCATTGCCCAGCTGTATGACCCTGGGGAAGCTGCTGCTTCTCTGATTAAGGGGTTAGGTTAGATCATATCCAAAGTTTCTTTCTGCCCTAAGATTTGAGAAATGTCGGCATTCGTTCTTGCAAAAGGTTAAGATAGGTGATTTTCCTGTGATTTCACAAGTATCTTTAAAACACTGTCATTCTATACCATAGGAAAATTATTACTCTAGAAAGAAATTAGAAGTATTGTACTCCTTTATACATTATAGTGTAGAAAATTTAGAAAACAGAAAAACATTGGAAAGCCATAAAAAACCTGCTTATCTTTACATCTAGACATTGCCATTATTGATGTTACTGATGCATTTCCTTCTCTTTCTGTATATGTATTTTTTAAAATTTCCTATAGGGCTTCTGCACTCACTGAAGGGGCCACAGAGAGAGGGGAAGTGAGAAAACACCCCCAGGAGGGATGGTCACATTGCAATTCCTTCTCCTCCATTCTCCTCTCAGGAATTTGGGCAGATTCATACACACACCCAATATGTTTTTCAAGCCACTGGATCTGGGACTCGAACAGCATAGTCATTCATGTAAAGTCAGCTGTTTTAACCACCAACCCATTGACTGGCCCAGGTCTATATGTACTTTTTAATTAATCAAGTTCAACTAGATTTAGTGTTGCATCCTAAGGTTTTTTAAATTATTTCAATTTCTATTATTATTTATACATTCAATCACTATATATCATTTAGATTGTAAAGAGACTTTACCCAGCATGATATACACCTCAGTCCAGCCAAGTTGAGACTATACACATTACTATACTTACTGTACACATCCTCATCAACAGATAGGAAACCATATCTGTGTCCCACAAATGTCTTACCTCTCTATTTTTTTCCCCAAATTTCCTTACCTATGCTCACTTCAGCTTTGCCTCTAGTGTCCTTAACAGTTTTTAATGTTTTTATGTCCTCCAGTCTTTCAATCTCTACCATAGAGTGCAGACAGTCAGTGTATGTTAGGTGGAGACGTATAATGTCCCTCTTTCATAGCCTGACTTGCTTCACTCATAACAAATCTTTCATATTCGTCCATTTTCTATCAAATTCCAGGGCCTTGTTGTTTTTTATGGCTAAATAGTATTCCATGGAGGATATGTGCCATTTCAATCCATTTTTGTGGACATTTGGGTTGGTTCCATATCTTAGTAATCGTGAATAATGCTGCAATAAATGTAATTGTGCAAGTGCTTTTCCAGTTGAGCGTTCTCCTGTCCTTTGGATAGATACCGAGGAGTGGGATTGCTGGATCACATGGTAGTTCTATTTGAAGGTCTTTGAGGAACCTCTATATTGTTCTCCACAGTGGCTGGACCAATTTACATTCCCACCAACAGTGTAGGAGGAGTGTTCCTTTTTTACAACATCCCCTCCAGCACTTATTGTTTTATATATTTTTTTAATCTTCGCCATTCTGATTGGGTTAGGTGTTATCTCGCTTTCTAAGGTTTTAAACATTGTATTATAAACTTACATTTTTTAGAGAGAGAGATTTTTGCTATAGAGAGTATGTGCTCGCTGGAGAGACAGAGACAGAGAGACAGAAAAAGACATTATGTCAACTGTTGGTTCCCCAAACTTTATTTTTAAAAATAATGTTTGCAATAATCTTTTTTGTGGTAAAATATAGATAACAAAATTTTCCATTTAACTTTTAAAAAACATTTTATTATTTTTTAAAGAGATTTTTGATTTCTTCCATAGAGTGCAGACATTTGGTATATATTGAGTGGGGATACACAAAGTCTTTGAAAGATTGTCTGGCTTACTTCCCCTCACAGTAAGTCTTCCATATTCCATAATGGTTGCCTACTATTCAAATATATAGGTGTACCGTATGTATCTGAGTCTCCTTGTAGTTCTTTTTCAGTTTTTATTATTACTGATACTGCAACAAATGTCCCCTGAATTTTTAAAAAATATGCATTGTCCATTTTCCTTCAAGGTATATAGGATACCTCTACTTTCCCTTTATCTTTTTGTCTATGCAAGTTACTTTCTCCTCCTTAATATGCTGCAATTATATTTTAAACATTTCTCATGGCAGAGGCAGCAAACACCTCTGCATGTAGCTGCTGACCTTGGAAATGTGGAACTGGTGGAAACTCTGCTGAAGGCGGGCTGTGACTTGAAGGTGGTTGATAAGGTGATTATACAGACTTCACTGGGTTCAGCTGGGCGGTTGCTAGACCCTCCCTACTGGCTGTCTGCCTTGAGCAGCAGCCTTAGCACACCCTTTGTGAGGCGGGCACAAACAAGGAAAACTTGTTGGTGAAATGTCCCAGTTTCGGTCAGTAAGGTTTTTCTTTCTTTCTCTTTTTCCTTTTCTTTTGTTATACAGTGCATGCTCTCACCAAAGAGAGACAGACAGAGGAAAAGTGAGAAAGCATCCCCTTTGGGTATGGTCACACTACAATCCTTCCTCCTCCATTTCTCCTTTTGGGATTTTGGGTAGGCATACTCACGTGCCTGGTGTTCTCGAGCGGCCGGGTCTGGAACTTGAAGGCTGCATTTGGACCCAGCCACCTAACCACCACAGCACAGGCTGGCCCAGTCAGTAAGAATTTTTACTCTGAGTAACAGAATATGTGTTTCTTAAAATCCAAATGATTTTTCAAATTTTTGAAAAGATTATAAATCCACTTGGTCCAAAAATTTAAAAAACAAACAAAACATAGCTAGTGAAGGTTTTATAGTAAACATTTTCCTCCCACCTTGGCCTTATTTGTGGTTACCCCCTTACCAGGCCATGTATACCCATTATTATATATATTTTCTGTTCTTTGTGGAGTTTCTCTACGCATATACAATCAAATATAAATATACTCTTACTCCATTCCTCCATGCTCTTAGACAGCAGTACATATTTATACATACCATTCTGTGTTCAGCTTTTTCCTCTTAACATTATAGAGATGTTTCCATACCAGTACATGGAGAGTTTCTTCATTTCTTTTCTTTTTTTTTAAGAATTTTTTATTTTATTTATTTTAATTTGACCAGAGAGAGAGAGAAAGGAAGATCCCAGGTCTGGGGCTTGAACAGCATCGGCCATGTGGGAGTCCAGCACCCTTAACCACCACGCCACCTGTCAGCCCCTCTTCATTCCTTTTTAATAAACCATGGTACAGATATATCATAGTTCATTTAACTCATCATCCACTGACGAGCATTTAAGTTGTTCTCAAGATTTCGACAGAGCTACAGTGAATGAATCACATGGGTGTAAATCTCACTTTCCCAAATGCTTTTTTTGTTTGTTTGTTTTTATTGTTGTTGTTTTTCCCTATAGGGTGTGTGTACTGGTTGGAGAGAGAGAGAGGGAGAAAGAGAGAGAGAGGGAGAGAGAAAATGAGACCTCTTTGTACCCAAGGGGTGGTGGTGGTGGTGGTGGTGGCCATACCACAGTTTCTTTTCCATTTTCCTCTTGGGATCTTGGGCATGCACACACACACACACACACACACACACACACACACACACACTCACTCCTTGAGTGTTTTTCAAGCTCGGAAACAAACTGGGGCTCAAATTGCGCAGTTAGTCATTTGGGATCCAGCTGGTCCCTAGAGGGTCTTTTGTCCACCCTACCCACTCACCTTCAAGAGCAAAAGTATCTGGACTTTCACTCCAGTATGCACTCCCTAGGAAGATTTTCTAATGAGCTTGAAAACATTGCCTCTCAGAATCTTGCCTTCCCTAGATAGGCTAATTATGGTGATTCAAAACAGCTTTACAAGCCAGAGTTTAGACATCATACAATTAGAGGCTTGCTAAATGCCTGCAAAATGCAGTTCTTCCTAATTTCATTACTGTCTCTTTCGATTAGAAGCTGATTACTTTCAGCCCTAACTTGCCAACGTACCTGGGTCTTAGCATCTGGACTGACAGCCAAATCATTTGTGTTGAAAATTGCACTTGTTGCAAATATCCAGCCAAGTAAGAGGATTAGTGGTATAAATTTCTGGATCTGTAAGGATAGAAAGGTGGGTTCCTAAGACTGGAACTTCTTTTGAGGTTATTTCTGACCTTCATTTATATTCAGGGTCCCTGAGCAAATTCCTCATGGGTTGCTTGAAGTGCAAATGAGAATTACTATCCTCTGCTCTGGGAAAAACGTATAGATAGAGAAGTTGTGTACTACACAAAATCTAGGGGATACTGCTTACAAAACTATGTGCCCTGGCTTTGAACTCTATCCATCATGAAAAAAAAAAGCACATATTTTTGTAATTTGTATAAGGCACCATAAGGGGTCCAAGAAGTTCATGCCTCAAATTATGTCTAGAACAACCCTTGTTACTCCTTCCTTTAGGTTAAGACTCAAACTCCTCACTCTTGGTGAGAGGCAATATGATATAATGGGGAAAAAAACCTCTTGATAAGAGTCCAGTGACTGTTGCTAGTGCTATTATTATTACTGTCCTTAGCAAGATCCAGTCCTTTTCTGTTTTACTAGTCTACCCTCCTCAAAACATGACTGCTACTTCCTGGTCTAAAGTGGCTGTTTAAGGTCCTACCATCATTCAGCAATCCACTCAGAAGGAGGAGAAAAGGAAGGAGAATGCTACCCCTCCTCTGTTTAGTTTGTTTGTTTATTTTATTCATGATAGAGAGCACGTATGTGCTCATGAGAGGGGGTGGGGGAAGTGGAAGAGACGCACCCTTAATAGCATCTGGTCCTGTCACCATCCACTTTCCTCTGTCTTCCAGTTCTTCAGGCTCTTGGGCATGTGCATGCCTGCCCAATGTTTTTCAGGTTGACCCAGGCCAGGAACCTGAACTTGTAGTCAGTCATGAGGCTTCCAGAACTGCAGTTCAGTAAGCTACTGACACTGCCACAGAATCAGGGCCTCTCCTCTCTTTAAAGATATTTTCTAGAAGGTGTATGTGCCACTTCCATTTATATGCCACCAGCCAGGAACGTTTGTCATGTACCTAGTGAATTACAAAGGAAAATTAGGAAATGTTTGGGGTGGCACATGTCCTAGGGACTTAATATGCATTATCACATTTACTCACTGCATCTGGGGTAATTAGTGGCCCAAAGAAGCTAAAGACTTGCCCAAGTTCATTCAGCAAGGAAGTGATAGGATCAGGATTTGAACATGGGCTTCCTAAGACTAGAACTGCTAAACAGTAGGACTAAAGCTGCTAATCATAGGCATAACATGTGACTCTGCTTTTTTTTAACTTTTAGCAAGGAAAGACTGCCCTGGCTGTGGCCTCCAGGAGCAACCACAGCCTGGTGGTGGACATGCTCATTAAGGCAGAGAGATACTATGCCTGGAGAGAGGTAAGGAAATGGTGTCTGTTCACATTGGTTTCAAGAAATTCTAAAATTTCATCTTAATTTCTGCCGTAGTTTTTATTTTTAAAGAATTATTTTATTTAACATTTTATTATTATTATTATTATTTAAATTTGACCAGAGAGAGACTGGGGTGGGGGCTGGTAAAGTGAGAAAGCAAGCCCCCAGGCCTGGGACTCAAACTGCTGTCAGGTATGTGGGAGTTCAGCTTCCCTAACCATCCTGCCATCTGCTGGCCCCTCTGCAGTAGTTTTGAAGTTGTTTACTGAATTGTTTGGTTTCCATGTGTGTTTTTGAAGGCTCTTTCTGTTGTTAATGTCAAGTTGAATTCCATTGTGGTTGGAAAGATGCTAGATGTAGTTTCTACTTTTTTTAAGTTTGGAAAGTCTTGTTTCGTGCTCTATTATGTGGTCAGTCTTCACAAATGTTCCATGTGTGGCTGAGAAAAATGTGTATTTTGTAGTTGTTGGGTGAAATGTTCTCTGAATGTCAGGCCCCGTTTGGTTCATGCTGTCACTTAGCTCCTGTGTGTGTTTTCTGTCTAGATAAGCTGTCCCACAGTGACAGCAAGGTGCTGACATCCCCGATTAGTGTGTAACAATCTCTCCATAGACCTAGTAGTGTTTCTTCTATGTATTTGGGTGCCTTGGCTTGGGGCCTGTAATATTTATAATTGTTATGTCTTCTTGGAGAATTAACGCCTTTAGTCCTATCTAGTTAGTCCTTCTTTGATCTTTTACTGTTCTTAATCTTCAAGTCTATTCTGTCCAATATCAGTATTGCGACTCCAGACTTGTGTTGGTTTCTGTTTGCATGAAATGACTTTTTTCCAACCCTTCACTTTCAATCTGAATATGTCTGTATCAATGAAGTGCATTTCTTTTATGCATCATATATAGAAAGCTCCTGATTTTTTAGTATATGTGCTGCCGAAGCGAGCACGAAAGCTCCTGATTTATTAAAAATCCATTCAGGCAATCCGTGTCTTTTTTTTTTTTTTTTTGGAGAGATTTTCGCTATAGGGCGCGTGCGCTCGCCAGACAGACAGAGAGAGACATAGAGACAGAAAGCGAGAAATCACCCCCCAGGGGGGATGGTCACGCCGCAATCCCTTCTCCTCCATTCTCCTCTCGGGATCCTGGGCACGCACGCACACGCGCCCGGAGTGAGTTCTAAGCCACCGGGTCCGGGACACGAACCGCGGTCGACTACGTGGGAGTCCAGCGACATAGCCATTACGCTAACTGCTGGTTCCCAGGCAATCCGTGTCTTTTAACTGGGGAATCATGGAATGATTTTCTCATCTCCTAGAATTACTTGTATGTTTCTTCTTACATCTCATTGAGTTCGGTCATGATGAATATTCTGAATTCCTTTTTTTCTTTTAGAAATTTTAGCCTTAGTGTACATGTGCTTGCTGAGGAGAGAGAGAGACAGAGACAGTGAGAGAGAAAGTGAGACATCATCCCCCACGTGAGTGGACTCCCTTCTCCTCCATTCTTTTCTTGGGATCTTAGGCACACGTGCAGGAGCACCTTAAAGTGTATACAGCCTTTGGACTATGGCTACAGGGCATGTGAAAGCTCTCAAGAAAGACATAATCTACCGCTGGATTAGAAGAAACCTGAGCATCAGCTGGAGAGGCCAGGAAAAGCTTGTTAAGAACAATGAGGTGCTCCACAGCTGAAGCACCCGGCTTTGCCTCCCCCATTAAAGAATGAGCACAGAACGGCTCCGGCCGGCCGCAGTCTTTCAGCAGAGATGCTGGGTCTGTCTGACCTCAGCTTTTATTTGTCAGTCCTTTCTCAATCCACAGCCCTTCCCCTCAGGGTACCCTATCTCTTTGCCCTCAGGCAGGGGTGCATGCACACGCACCTGATGTGAGTTTCAAGTCACCGGGTCTGGCACTTGAACTGTGGTTGGCCATGTGGGAGTCCAGTGATGTAACTACTCTACCATCTGCTGGTCCCGAATATTCTGAATTCCTTTTCCAACATTTCTGTGATTTGCTGTGTTAGTGAAGAGTTATTATATTCCTTTGGGGGAAAGGTATTACCCTGTTTCTTCCCCCCACATTTCTTGTTTATATCTCTGCATTAGTTTTTAGGCATCTCATGGAGGACTCACTTCTTCCTAATTTCTGGAGTAGGTTCTACAATGCTGGGGGGGCGGCGAGGGGAGGATGGTGTCAAGAACAGCACTAAGGTCCCAACTGTGCCTCTGGCAGAGTGGTCCAGGACGGACTGGAAGCCAGCTGCCTCTTCCAGATCAGGGCCGGGCTTGTGTAGCCTGTATGTGATACAGCTCAGGCAGGTCCAGAAGAGCTGCCCTGTGAGTGACGTCAGTTGCAGCAGGTGCAGTTTCAGAGTTCTTCTGGGGGCAGGGAGTGCTAGAATCGCAGTGAGTGTCTAAGTTCAGAGTTTCAGAGGATAGTTGCTCTCAATTTTTCTCCAGCGAGGTGTGGGTGAGAGAAGATCCTCCAGACCCTCACCAGCTTCAGACAGCCTCCTCTTTCTTTACATTTCCAAGTATTGGGTCATCGGAAAAGGCATGACTGACTTTTTCTATGCAAAAATGCATCATGACTTTTCCAACAGACAGTGAGGTGAGCCTGAGGAGGTACAAGAAAAGACAAGAACATCTATAGTATTAGTCTTTCTTCCCAGAGAGACGTTAGGGTGGGAGTTTGTACTTGGCAGACTTGATCCTTCCCCTTTTACGGAACAATGCAGGGTGGGACAATGCATTGTGTCACTCTTGTGAGTCTCAGCCTCTGGCTGGCACCGTGCTCCTGCCCCGCCTCTGCAGCCAGTGCCATCCTCACCACGTCTCTCTGCTCCCCTGGGTGCTTCCAGCTCTTGCCGCACTGCAGTCTGCTCAGTCTCCAGCTTGCGGCTCCAGCAGACCCAGGTCCGGGCATGCGACAGCCATCTCCCCAGCAAATACCACAGTCCTGGACCCAGAGTTCAGACAGGGACACTTGGCCAGGCCCCGCACTGAGGGCAGCAGCAGCAAGGCTAGGCGCCCAGTGGCTGCTGCTCCCTTGGGCTTCTTCTGAGGAGGATTTTGTAAACCTCTCAGAACGGGCCCTGAACCTGAGCAGCAGGA